TAAGATGGCATGGGACACTGCTTGCCAGAGTGAATCAGCAGTTAATGCTATTCTTGTACCTCAAGGTTTCTCTTTCCTCATTCAGTCCACTATCTTCACTGGTCCTTGTCAAAGTTTCATGGTGTTGAAGGTAATAATGTATACTTATTTTGCAACTTTTGGCCCTTTGCTTCTTGCATTTTTTAAGGGTAAAGTTTACTAATGGACTTTTCTGGCTCAAATATGTGGATAAGGTTCATGGAACTCTTATGCCACCTGATGGACCCGAATATTGGCCAAAGAACAACAGTAGGCACCAATGGTTGGTGTTTTATAGAATCAATGGAATGTCACTGGAAGGAAGTGGTTTAATAGATGGGAGAGGAGAAAAATGGTGGGACCTCCCATGTAAGCCTCACAAGGTACTAATCCATTTGAATGTTTGCTTTATTTTTTCAACAATTTGAGTCCTTCATGCAGCCTCTAACACATGTTCCCTACCAATAAATGACTCAGGGACCTAATGGGACAACACTCCCTGGACCCTGTGATAGCCCAATTGTGAGCCTTCAAACCCTTTCTTCTATTTGTATACTTTTCATTGTGATTGAGTGTAATTCTGCATGATGCAGGCCATAAGGTTTTTTATGAGTTCCAACTTGACTGTGCATGGACTAAGGATAAAGAACAGCCCCCAGTTCCATTTCAGATTTGATGGCTGCAAAAACGTCCACATAGAATCAATCTACATAACAGCTCCAAAACTTAGCCCCAATACTGATGGAATTCACATAGAAAATTCAAATGAAGTGAAAATATACAATTCTGTTATTTCTAATGGTTAGACACGAAAAACTCTTCCAACTCTTCACTGCTTTTGCATCAAAAAGGCATTATTAATGTTTGTTTGGTGAATTATTATCTTCTAAAGGTGATGATTGTGTTTCCATTGGATCCGGCTGCAATGATGTCGATATTAAGAACATTACATGTGGACCTGGTCATGGAATTAGGTAACTATTCTTTGCTTTCAGAAAAAGTTTTATTCTCCTCATCTGTTGGGTAACTATGAATTATGGCAAAAAAAAAAAAAAACTTTCCTTTAAAACAGACAATAAGCCAAATACTCCCTTAACTTTTGTTTCATGGCACTTTAGATTACTCTGTCACAAAAACTCTAGCACCATGTTTGCAACTAAGTGTCTGAAAATCTCAAGTTACTGAAAAATAAACTAGAATTTAAGCTTGAAGGGCGCTTTGTGACAAAAAATAAAAAAGTTGAAATGGGATACTAACATTCTTTTTAAAACAACATATTCTTTACAATTGATTAAAAACTAAGAAACATTAAACTCGTCAAAAAAGAAGTTATATTCTAAAATAATGGTAATTTTCAATATGGCTTAAGGGGCTTCTATGACATAGCTGTTATCTGTATAACTTATGCAGCATTGGTAGTCTGGGGAATCACAACTCTCGAGCCTGTGTTTCAAACATTGTGGTGAGAGATTCACTCATAAAAATGACAGATAATGGGGTTAGGATCAAGACTTGGCAAGGTGGATCAGGATCAGTGTCTGGAGTGACATTCAACAATATTCATATGGTTAGTGTAAGAAATCCAATCATAATTGACCAATTCTACTGCCTCACCAAGGATTGCACCAACAAGACCTCTGCAGTATCTGTATCAAATATTATTTACACAAACATAAGGGGTACTTATGATATAAGGAGCCCCCCAATGCGTTTTGCTTGCAGTGACTCTGTCCCATGCACCAACTTAACACTCTCAGAAATTGAGCTTCTTCCAGCTGAAGGAGACATAGTGCATGACCCTTTCTGCTGGAATGCATATGGAGATTTGGAGACACTAACCATTCCACCAATCTCATGCTTGCTCGAGGGCACTCCTCAATCCGTGTCAGACTTTGACATAACTCGTTGCTGACCCATTGCTTTCTCTGTAGGACAAAAATGTGAGCATGTACATAATTTATTACTTGGAAGTGATTAGGCCTTTAGGGAATACATAGCATGATGTTCACTCTAATTATCTTGTGATTGTTGAGGAGTTGTGTTTTTTATACTCCTCCCCAATTGTAAACTATATGTCGTGTGATTATTCTGGAATGATTGGCGTTTGAACTTAATTGCTTCATTCATTGCTGTATATGAGCTTGAATTAAATCCTGATTACAAATTCAAAGGACGGAGTTAACATGATTGAAAAAAAGACACTTAAAAATGTGTTGGTTATATGGTGTTTTTTTGTTAATATAGGAATTGCACTTCTGTAATAGATAGTTTCTAACAATCAGAGATTGAGATTCATCAGACAACTTGTCATAAATAATTTCCTACTCATTCCTCCCACATGATTCTCAATATGTATATATTTTGTTTAAAAAGTTTCTAATTGCAGAAGAAAGCATAAGATTTGGTTGTAAAAACTCCATTACTTTTTAACAATAAACGGTGATTAAGTGGGCTGATGGAGGGTCTAGAATAGATTTCCATTCCTGACATCCCAGTATCCCCATTTTTCACATTCCTTTGTGTCCATTGGATATATATCCTATATATATAAGAAAGAAACACTGGTGTTGAATTGTTTATGAATGATACCACGCTATTTTAGCAAACCAAAAGTCTGAGACTTGATGAATTTGCTGTTTCTTTTTATAGAACCTAATGCTTTAACAGAAGCACCAAACTTTTGTCTCCCACGGAAAGTTTATAAAACATGGTCCAGGATGAATGATCAGTTCACTATATATTTAATCAGAAACTTGGAGAGATTCCAATACCACCTTGGCATTTGTGTCTGCATGACGATGACTGACAAGAGTGTAAACAAACAAAAAGAATGTAGTTAAATATGGAGAGAGTTCCGGAAATCAAAGCAGAAAAAGTAGTATCAGATATAATAACATAGTTTTTAGTGAGCGTGAGTGATTTCAAGAGGATTTGTGCCCCCATCACCCTGCTTCACAAATTTCGTGTGGAAGTTGAGTCAAATTCCCTTTTCAGTCATGCATACTCGGTGTCCACGTTAATCATACCTCATACTTGTTGGAAGTCCCACGTCAAGAAGATAACCCAATTCATAGTTTATAAGTGGATGCAAACTTCACCCTATAAACTGGTTTTATGAGATTGAATTAGACTTAAAGTACACTTCTAACCATATTCTTCGTAATTAACATAACAAGTTATATGAACTGGACTTAAACTCGAACGGCCGCATTGTCATCCCATATATAATGAATGAGAAGAGTTATCGAAGGGCATCTTCATATAGCAGCTAAGCTTTTTCTCTTAAAGTCAAGTCATGTCATATAATCTAATACCAGCACAACGAGGGGCAGCTTTATTTTGTTGATAGCTTTCTTTATAGACTAATGGTCTCAACATCTAAAGAATAACTTTTTTTTTTCTCATCGTATAATTAATTAGGTGCTGTAGTCAGACGCTTATACCACCCCACTAACGTCTTAATTAGAGATTCTGGTGAGATCTCCAAAAGTATAGTTCACAAGAAAGCATCCTCAAATTGAATCAATTTTTTTGTCTTCAATTTTGTTTGCTATTATTGCTACAAGCACATATATGACATAGTAGCTACTGCTGTTAATTGGATGAGAAGAGAATCAATGAGTGCGTGCGTGTGTATTGATATAGATCAAATGCTTTACAAAATAACAATTCAGCACATTCTTCTTTCTTTTTTCTGCTCCACTTCTGTAGTCCACTGATTATTGTTTTGCAGAGCAGTGAACATTCTTCTTCCAAATCCAGTTCACGTCATGATTCATCTTTCTGCATACTTTTTCTGCTGCAATTACACGAGTCACAAACATCAGTTAGAAGCAATTAATGCACATACACGTCTATCCAAACTCTGAAAAAAGCCTTTTCCATATCAGTGCTACTGGGGTATGAATGAACATATAAGCCTTAGCAAATTATTGAAATGATTTACAACTAATATTAACCTGATTTCATTGGCTCGAGATAGTTAGTGTAGCATAGGTATTGAGTCTAATGAGTTATGAGTATATGGTGTTTTTGAGTAGGTAGGGCTTTTCTTGTAATTTCTTTTGTCTTCCTTTTGTAAAATATCTGCAGGTTCCAAGAAGGAGAAGGTGCATTAACTCCTGAATGATTAATGAAAGGACGTCGCATGAATGTGGGTATGGAATAAAGTTCAAACTATATAAAGCTAACAAAAAAAGTGAGAAAAGAATCTAGGACATTTTACGGCATCTCATGATTCCCACTTCGATCAATCTCATTAACTAATACTTTATTTCTTATTTTCTAAGAAATGACATCTAAAGATAGCATACAAATACCACTTTCCATAACCATTATGATGCTCCAGGAGACTGTTTGGAAAAGAAGAAAAAGCAGAAAACAAAAGAGAGGGAGAATGAGAGCCACACAGAAAATGAACAGAGAGAGCAGATCGTGAAATATCTTATGCAGGAAAAAAAAATGTACACAAAGCCATTGAGGGGATGGTGGACATTTCTGGGCACAATATGTGGATGTGAAGATGAAAATGGATGTGAAGTGGAGTGTGTGAAGATGAAAGATTCAAAAGAAAATACATGGCGCTAAGAATTTGGATTCACCATGTAGTCCACGAAAAGTGTATAATATATTCTGATTCAATCTGATAATAATTCCATCTGTGTTGAAGTAAAATGAATATCAGACTTTAGGTAGCTACTACTACTAATCCAAATCCCATTAGTATGTATACACGTCGAAGGACTCGTTTTGTAATATAAATTTTAGATTCCTTTTTAACAGCTTTAATCAGACTCAATTAACTACATCCATAAACTAATTATACTTGTTGTCACTATAACAGACTTTTCTTTTCTGCTTTAACTATTGGAATAATATTATATATATATATATATATACTTATTTTAAATAAGGATGTTTTGTGACACAGTATTATTTCTAAAATTCTGACATAANAATAATGTATACTTATTTTGCAACTTTTGGCCCTTTGCTTCTTGCATTTTTTAAGGGTAAAGTTTACTAATGGACTTTTCTGGCTCAAATATGTGGATAAGGTTCATGGAACTCTTATGCCACCTGATGGACCCGAATATTGGCCAAAGAACAACAGTAGGCACCAATGGTTGGTGTTTTATAGAATCAATGGAATGTCACTGGAAGGAAGTGGTTTAATAGATGGGAGAGGAGAAAAATGGTGGGACCTCCCATGTAAGCCTCACAAGGTACTAATCCATTTGAATGTTTGCTTTATTTTTTCAACAATTTGAGTCCTTCATGCAGCCTCTAACACATGTTCCCTACCAATAAATGACTCAGGGACCTAATGGGACAACACTCCCTGGACCCTGTGATAGCCCAATTGTGAGCCTTCAAACCCTTTCTTCTATTTGTATACTTTTCATTGTGATTGAGTGTAATTCTGCATGATGCAGGCCATAAGGTTTTTTATGAGTTCCAACTTGACTGTGCATGGACTAAGGATAAAGAACAGCCCCCAGTTCCATTTCAGATTTGATGGCTGCAAAAACGTCCACATAGAATCAATCTACATAACAGCTCCAAAACTTAGCCCCAATACTGATGGAATTCACATAGAAAATTCAAATGAAGTGAAAATATACAATTCTGTTATTTCTAATGGTTAGACACGAAAAACTCTTCCAACTCTTCACTGCTTTTGCATCAAAAAGGCATTATTAATGTTTGTTTGGTGAATTATTATCTTCTAAAGGTGATGATTGTGTTTCCATTGGATCCGGCTGCAATGATGTCGATATTAAGAACATTACATGTGGACCTGGTCATGGAATTAGGTAACTATTCTTTGCTTTCAGAAAAAGTTTTATTCTCCTCATCTGTTGGGTAACTATGAATTATGGCAAAAAAAAAAAAAAACTTTCCTTTAAAACAGACAATAAGCCAAATACTCCCTTAACTTTTGTTTCATGGCACTTTAGATTACTCTGTCACAAAAACTCTAGCACCATGTTTGCAACTAAGTGTCTGAAAATCTCAAGTTACTGAAAAATAAACTAGAATTTAAGCTTGAAGGGCGCTTTGTGACAAAAAATAAAAAAGTTGAAGTGGGATACTAACATTCTTTTTAATACAACATATTCTTTACAATTGATTAAAAACTAAGAAACATTAAACTCGTCAAAAAAGAAGTTATATTCTAAAATAATGGTAATTTTCAATATGGCTTAAGGGGCTTCTATGACATAGCTGTTATCTGTATAACTTATGCAGCATTGGTAGTCTGGGGAATCACAACTCTCGAGCCTGTGTTTCAAACATTGTGGTGAGAGATTCACTCATAAAAATGACAGATAATGGGGTTAGGATCAAGACTTGGCAAGGTGGATCAGGATCAGTGTCTGGAGTGACATTCAACAATATTCATATGGTTAGTGTAAGAAATCCAATCATAATTGACCAATTCTACTGCCTCACCAAGGATTGCACCAACAAGACCTCTGCAGTATCTGTATCAAATATTATTTACACAAACATAAGGGGTACTTATGATATAAGGAGCCCCCCAATGCGTTTTGCTTGCAGTGACTCTGTCCCATGCACCAACTTAACACTCTCAGAAATTGAGCTTCTTCCAGCTGAAGGAGACATAGTGCATGACCCTTTCTGCTGGAATGCATATGGAGATTTGGAGACACTAACCATTCCACCAATCTCATGCTTGCTCGAGGGCACTCCTCAATCCGTGTCAGACTTTGACATAACTCGTTGCTGACCCATTGCTTTCTCTGTAGGACAAAAATGTGAGCATGTACATAATTTATTACTTGGAAGTGATTAGGCCTTTAGGGAATACATAGCATGATGTTCACTCTAATTATCTTGTGATTGTTGAGGAGTTGTGTTTTTTATACTCCTCCCCAATTGTAAACTATATGTCGTGTGATTATTCTGGAATGATTGGCGTTTGAACTTAATTGCTTCATTCATTGCTGTATATGAGCTTGAATTAAATCCTGATTACAAATTCAAAGGACGGAGTTAACATGATTGAAAAAAAGACACTTAAAAATGTGTTGGTTATATGGTGTTTTTTTGTTAATATAGGAATTGCACTTCTGTAATAGATAGTTTCTAACAATCAGAGATTGAGATTCATCAGACAACTTGTCATAAATAATTTCCTACTCATTCCTCCCACATGATTCTCAATATGTATATATTTTGTTTAAAAAGTTTCTAATTGCAGAAGAAAGCATAAGATTTGGTTGTAAAAACTCCATTACTTTTTAACAATAAACGGTGATTAAGTGGGCTGATGGAGGGTCTAGAATAGCTTTCCATTCCTGACATCCCAGTATCCCCATTTTTCACATTCCTTTGTGTCCATTGGATATATATCCTATATATATAAGAAAGAAACACTGGTGTTGAATTGTTTATGAATGATACCACGCTATTTTAGCAAACCAAAAGTCTGAGACTTGATGAATTTGCTGTTTCTTTTTATAGAACCTAATGCTTTAACAGAAGCACCAAACTTTTGTCTCCCACGGAAAGTTTATAAAACATGGTCCAGGATGAATGATCAGTTCACTATATATTTAATCAGAAACTTGGAGAGATTCCAATACCACCTTGGCATTTGTGTCTGCATGACGATGACTGACAAGAGTGTAAACAAACAAAAAGAATGTAGTTAAATATGGAGAGAGTTCCGGAAATCAAAGCAGAAAAAGTAGTATCAGATATAATAACATAGTTTTTAGTGAGCGTGAGTGATTTCAAGAGGATTTGTGCCCCCATCACCCTGCTTCACAAATTTCGTGTGGAAGTTGAGTCAAATTCCCTTTTCAGTCATGCATACTCGGTGTCCACGTTAATCATACCTCATACTTGTTGGAAGTCCCACGTCAAGAAGATAACCCAATTCATAGTTTATAAGTGGATGCAAACTTCACCCTATAAACTGGTTTTATGAGATTGAATTAGACTTAAAGTACACTTCTAACCATATTCTTCGTAATTAACATAACAAGTTATATGAACTGGACTTAAACTCGAACGGCCGCATTGTCATCCCATATATAATGAATGAGAAGAGTTATCGAAGGGCATCTTCATATAGCAGCTAAGCTTTTTCTCTTAAAGTCAAGTCATGTCATATAATCTAATACCAGCACAACGAGGGGCAGCTTTATTTTGTTGATAGCTTTCTTTATAGACTAATGGTCTCAACATCTAAAGAATAACTTTTTTTTTTCTCATCGTATAATTAATTAGGTGCTGTAGTCAGACGCTTATACCACCCCACTAACGTCTTAATTAGAGATTCTGGTGAGATCTCCAAAAGTATAGTTCACAAGAAAGCATCCTCAAATTGAATCAATTTTTTTGTCTTCAATTTTGTTTGCTATTATTGCTACAAGCACATATATGACATAGTAGCTACTGCTGTTAATTGGATGAGAAGAGAATCAATGAGTGCGTGCGTGTGTATTGATATAGATCAAATGCTTTACAAAATAACAATTCAGCACATTCTTCTTTCTTTTTTCTGCTCCACTTCTGTAGTCCACTGATTATTGTTTTGCAGAGCAGTGAACATTCTTCTTCCAAATCCAGTTCACGTCATGATTCATCTTTCTGCATACTTTTTCTGCTGCAATTACACGAGTCACAAACATCAGTTAGAAGCAATTAATGCACATACACGTCTATCCAAACTCTGAAAAAAGCCTTTTCCATATCAGTGCTACTGGGGTATGAATGAACATATAAGCCTTAGCAAATTATTGAAATGATTTACAACTAATATTAACCTGATTTCATTGGCTCGAGATAGTTAGTGTAGCATAGGTATTGAGTCTAATGAGTTATGAGTATATGGTGTTTTTGAGTAGGTAGGGCTTTTCTTGTAATTTCTTTTGTCTTCCTTTTGTAAAATATCTGCAGGTTCCAAGAAGGAGAAGGTGCATTAACTCCTGAATGATTAATGAAAGGACGTCGCATGAATGTGGGTATGGAATAAAGTTCAAACTATATAAAGCTAACAAAAAAAGTGAGAAAAGAATCTAGGACATTTTACGGCATCTCATGATTCCCACTTCGATCAATCTCATTAACTAATACTTTATTTCTTATTTTCTAAGAAATGACATCTAAAGATAGCATACAAATACCACTTTCCATAACCATTATGATGCTCCAGGAGACTGTTTGGAAAAGAAGAAAAAGCAGAAAACAAAAGAGAGGGAGAATGAGAGCCACACAGAAAATGAACAGAGAGAGCAGATCGTGAAATATCTTATGCAGGAAAAAAAAATGTACACAAAGCCATTGAGGGGATGGTGGACATTTCTGGGCACAATATGTGGATGTGAAGATGAAAATGGATGTGAAGTGGAGTGTGTGAAGATGAAAGATTCAAAAGAAAATACATGGCGCTAAGAATTTGGATTCACCATGTAGTCCACGAAAAGTGTATAATATATTCTGATTCAATCTGATAATAATTCCATCTGTGTTGAAGTAAAATGAATATCAGACTTTAGGTAGCTACTACTACTAATCCAAATCCCATTAGTATGTATACACGTCGAAGGACTCGTTTTGTAATATAAATTTTAGATTCCTTTTTAACAGCTTTAATCAGACTCAATTAACTACATCCATAAACTAATTATACTTGTTGTCACTATAACAGACTTTTCTTTTCTGCTTTAACTATTGGAATAATATTATATATATATATATATATACTTATTTTAAATAAGGATGTTTTGTGACACAGTATTATTTCTAAAATTCTGACATAAAAGACATCCTAGAATGCATCCAAAAGATGGTAGTGAGTAATGAGAGTAAGAGGAAAAATATATTATTAAATATTATTACAGAAATTACTATAAATTGAATTGAAAATAATTAGAAACATTTTTATGACATAGAAATTTGTCATAACATTTTCATCTCATGAATTTGTTGTAAGTAAATAAACCAAAAGAAGCTCTCTTAGCGTAAATTTATATATATATATATATATATATATATATATATATATATATATATATATATATAATATTCTAATTGTAATATTTTAAAACAATATTGTAAAAAATATTTTAAATGGATTTTGGGTAACTTTTTGCTTCTTGTTTTTTAAGGAAAGTGTTATTATTTTTTTAGAATTTCATATTATCATGTTGCTTTAAGTAAAGTTAAATTGAAGTTTCTTAAAAAATATATCAAAATTAAATTTGAAGAAGAAAAATATTTAGTTTCTCAATAAAAAATAAAAAATAATATAAAGCGAACTTACATAAAAAAATGTATTTAAAATTATTTTGTATATGATTAAATCATAATAATCATTTTTAATTTTAATGATCATTATATTTTAGTGATAAAGTTATCAAAGTAGAAGAATGGATATACAAAGTTGAATTGGAATAAATTAATTGTTTATTCTAATAAAAGAAATAGAATTTAAAATAAATTGAATCCATATATGGAACTTCTAATCCCACATATGTAGGATTAAATAGGGTGAAATGATATGTCTAACAAACATAAATCTTGTTAGGATGAATTCTAATTCATGATTTCAATATTATGTTAAAAAGTGAACTTTAAGTCTAACTTAATCTCACAAAAATCGATTTAAAAGGAAAGGTGTGTACTCACACACACACACACACACACACACACACATATATATATATATATATATATATATATATATATATATATATTAAATTATTTCAATGCCACATCGACTAGAGATAAGACAAATTTATAATATATAAGCAGTGCAAACCTTACTATACAAGCTGGTTGTGTGGGGATGAGTTAGACTTAATGTCCACTTTCTAATATGGTATCAGAGTCATGGTTCGAGCCTATCCTAACGAGATCTATGTGGATATTTTGTTCCACCCGTTGTCGGGTCACTATCGAACCACCCATTAATTTTACTCACGCTCGAGATGTCTTTACCTGCGTGAAGGGAGTGTGTTGGAAGTCCCACATCGAATAGAGATATGGTCAAATTATAATATATAAGTAGTGCAAACCTCACTATACAAACTGGTTTTGTGGGGTTGAGTTAGGTTTAAAGTCCACTTCTTAATATGATATCAGAATCATGATTTGACCCTTTCTTAACAAGATCTATGTGGACATTTTGTTCCATGGTTGTCGGGACATGCTCGTGAGTTTTAAACTCCACTTCTAAATACTCTTAAATAATTTAGATCCACAACTTTCATAATTTACTTTTCTCTTGAAAACCACTTATTTCTCCCTTCCTAATAAGTAGGCTTGGACCACATCAATAATTATTTCTTTTCATGCACCACTATATTTTTTTTTTCTGAATTCATTCCTATTTTCCTTTTTCAATAAACAAATTCTAAAACACTGGTAATTTGCTCAATCCTAAATCATCATTTCTTTATGCTTTATGTATTTTACTTCCGCAGTTAGTTTTCTATGTAGTTTCTGGCGCATTTGCCAAAAGAGGTGTAAGTAAAAGAAACTATCCAGTTTTGATAGAGTGTCCAATATAATTTAACATTACATATCAACTATTGTAACAATATCACTAGTCTTAAAATAAACCTCACTTTAGCTTTTAGTCTTTTGTTTGCTAAATATGATTATTCAGTCATTTATATTTATATTTACATACACATGTATGTTGATTTTAAAAATTAGTTAATGCGTTGAAGTTTAAAGAAGTTATAATTTTTTAATATAATCTAATACAATTTATAATGAAAAAGAAATATATTTTTTTAAACTCCTAAACGGTATCTTTGCACACTTATATATTCCAAATATTTTTAATTTAATTATGTTGCCCGATACTTACTCAACTATGATATACTCTGTTTTTTCTCAACGCGTTCTTTTGAGTCAATTACAGAGATATTGATAATTTGTATTTGATAAAATTTGATTATACTCAACAAAACAATTATTAAAATTTTATCGGATTGCATTTAATGAAATTTGTATTTATTTACGTTAAACTCAATTCAACTTAATATATTGTTAAATGAGTTTAATTGGATTGAAATAATTAGATCAACATTAATTTTTTTTTTTTACAAAATAATAATTTTAAGTATAAATTTAATTAAAAATAGCATGATTTTAACGAAATATAGTTTAAGACGTTAAGTGAGTTAATAAGTGAAACTTTGTCAAAATTAATTCAAAACATAAAATAAATGAGTTGATTTAGATTTAAATTATTAATGTAAACCTTACTTCATAAACAATTCTACTAAATTGTAAGTTTACAAGATTATTTGAATTAATTTTAACAATGTAAACATTTATTTCATCATTAATTTAATGTTGAAAAAAAGAAGATAAACATTAAATCGTTTTAAAAAAATAGATATGATAAAAGAAAGATTGAGAATGTTGAAATATAAACTAATTAGTTTATAAAAAAAAAACACGATACACATTAACCGAATAAACTAAGTTGAGTGAGATTAACTAACTTAACAAAAATATAATCTGAGGAGAGAGACAGCACACATCACACGAAGCGCAAGGTAGTAAGAAAGCGTGACGCGAAAAATGATACGTCAGCTATCAGTAACAACCATTTATTTCGCATTGTGTTCTGATTAAGTTGTTGGCTGTCTCACTTTTTACCATCATCATCTCCGCGATTAACATGCTGACGTGACTCCAATTCACCACATTTACTGTTATGCCCTTCTCTCATGTCCAACCAAATACGGGAAAATAGTCAACCACTCAATTCGAATATATTATTACAAAAAGAGAAAAATACCAAATCATATCATCACTTTATTCCATTCTAAATTAGTATTTATGAAATTACAATAATTACCATGTAAATATTTCAGTTTACAAAAATAAATATATGTCTTGCATTTTAAAATAAACAATACCAAATACACAATACAGTTTTATTAATAAAAAATAAATCTTAAACTACATAAAAATAAATAAACATTCAAATAACTTATCAAAAATACAATTTGTTTGTACCACACTCAATATTTCTTCAACAATTCTATACAACCTAAATAATGATCTTCGTATTAGTTAACCAATTTCACATTCTATCTTCGGTATATTTTGAGATTTCTTACTCAAAGTATTCAAAATTGTTTGATAGACTGAAAAACTTTTTCATGATCCTACGTTATCCGAAATACGTTGTTCGACCTCTCTTCTCTTTGTCCAAACCATGGGAGTGGTACCTGTCAAAGACACTCTTATGCTCAAGTTAGTGATTTACTCAATAATTTTATAACGAAAATGAGTAATATAGTTAAATTATTTGTCTTTTTTATCAAACATATATTTATAAATATTATATTAAGTCTACCACTAGGTCTGACTTATTTATTACCAATAAATGACATTATTCCTATTAATTGTTAATCAATGACTATTATTTTCATTATCTGCCAATTAATAATTGTTATTACTTAGATTAATTGTCATTATTAACTATTATAAATTGGTCGATCCGTCTGATTGGTGATCATACAATACACATTCAAATCTGTTAGACTAATTTAATATAACATTTCTATAATCCAAATCTAAGTTGGATTCAAAATAGTTATAACCCAGATAAATCAAAACTCCGTGTATTTAATTAAATAAATTTCAACTTCAATTCACAACATTCATCACATTTCAAGACCACAACTTCTAACTTGAAGAATACAAGACGAACTTCTCAACCAACTTCTACGCTTTAAAAATAGAAAGCACCATTCAAAATTCTGAGTGGTTAATCCTGATTTATTTTTCACTATTTTCTCAAAATATAAATTATGAACTTTAAAAAATAGATAATCTATTTCATAAACTTAAAAAGAATCTTACAGAAACAAAGTTTCACGAAATTTTAAATTATAGTCTCTTTTAACAGTATATTTATTCCCTATTTAATTTGAATTCCATTCTCTAAGCTTTCAAAAAATCGTACGATTATTTGTTACAGTATTTCGTTTAATTTACGCTTCAAGAAAATCATTACTTATATAAATAAAGTTATTTCTTTTGTTATTATTATTTACTTTTATACGTGACCGATTTGACAAATTAAATAGTAACAAAACATTCCTTTTTATAATAGTTGTTTTACTGGGTTGCATTATTATGTCTAGAATAATGATTTCCTGAGTAAAGTAATATATATATATATATATACTGTGTGATGTAAATAAAATAATATATTAATTGAAGTCATGCGTCAATAAATTTAAAATTATCTTGGGTATATAAAAACAACTTGTCACCAATGCTCCGTGAGTACAACATGTGTCGGTATACATTTGATAGGTTAATATGCTTATTTTAGAAAAATATGATTTAATATTAAAAAATGTATAACTTTTTTTAAAATATAATAATTATATCACTGTTATGATGTGGATTAAAATTAAAATTATGTATATTAAAATAAAAAATTATAAGTTATTATCATTATAAAAGTACTAATATTTTATAAATTAGATTATTTATTAATAAATATTGATAAAGTATTATAAATAATAAACAAATATATATTACATACAAATATATGACTCAAATTAAAATATCAAATGTATCATAGTTTTACACAAATTAAATAAATATATTATCATACAATTTTTAAAAACAATTCATTTTATCTTGAACAAGCAAGTTTTAACCTAATATAGTTTCAAAGAATTTTATATATGTAAAATTTAAATTTTAGTTTATATAACAAGAACGATGACATTTGACACATTTCTTATATTTATTTAGTATTACCTTTCAATATCTTTCACTCTTCCTTTTATTTTTTCAAATAAAAAATTCATTTTTTTATAATTATTTTATTCCTATAAATAAATGTAATATAGGTCAAAATATCATTACTTATATATGAATTAGTCTCAATCCCATCAAATGTTGTAGTTTATCCGAAAAAATTACGGATAATGATACTTTAACAATGTTTTTTTGACAATATTTTAACATCATCTAAGTGTCATTCTGTTATTTGTCTATATTGGTGTTTATGATTATTATTATTGATTGTAGAGTAATTTTAAACCAATCAAAAAATATACTTAGATGATATTAAAATGTTGTCAAAAAAAAATGTTCTCAAAATATCATTATCTAAAAAATACCTTGTAACAATACGGTAACTTTACTAATAACATAATATTTTCTCTAATTTAATGTTATACTGATGTTCGATATAACTTACCTTCAAATATATTTTAACCTTAATTATATAAATTATAATATTTAATTATATATAAACTTACAATTAATACATTGAATGAAAATATTATGTTGAATCGATTTCATTTGGAATTTGAATTAAACCTGGAAATGACATAAATAATTACTAAAAATTTGAATGAAATAAGAAGATATCACTTCGTTGCTCGACAACTATTTAATAATATAATAATCTATTTAAAATATTAATATTTTAAATTGTGTATTAGATTATATTTTATTTTATGGGTATCTAAGTTATGGTCCCTCGAAATTAAGAACACGACATAATCCACATTGGTCCAGTACGGTTATAAAAGGAAAATTAAGAGAGTTTCCAATTTGGTAGTTGCCAACATCTCTCTCTCTCTCTACCAGGACATAGACATTGTTTTCATTCTCTTCTTCTTTCTTCTTATGTTCTTTCTTTCTGTTAGTTAACTCTGGTTTTCCTTTTAATTATATATTACGCAGAGTCATGGAAGACAAGAAGAGAAAGGGAAAAGACGAGGAGAAGGAAGAAAAAGAAGAGATGATGAAGATGGAGGAGTTTTACGCGCTTCTGCGGAGGTTCCGAGACGCGCGTGATCGGAGACGAAAAGAGTTGCAGGAATTAGAGAAGAGTGAGAAGAAGAGGAAAGTGCCGACAGAACAACAGAGCGGTTGGGTGCCATCATTCGAGTGGGAAGATTTCACAAACGAGGTTGAATTCAGAGGACAACCTTTGCGTTTGACAACTCCATCGACTGCATCTCCTTCGCCTCGTCTCACTCTCAAAAAACGTAAGAACGACCAACATCACCTGCACGATAACTCTCTCGATCTTAACCTCGCTCTCTAATATTACCTCATCCTTTTTCTTCCATCATTTATTGGCCCTTAACTTCTCCATGTATGAATCTCAAGATTCTCAAGATTATAACCAAGTATATAATATCCTTTAAAATGAGTTCTTTTAATATTTTTTTATTATATCTGTTATCGAAATTTTAGATCATTTTTTTTTGAAAGTGTCTTAAATTTGATTTTAGTTCTTTTAATTTTTTTTTACTTCTCTAAATATTTAATTTATCGTTTTAATCTTTAATATTGAGTTTAAGATATAGGTTAGTGATATTTATTTTATAAATTTTAAAATTCTTTCAATGTGATACAGATTGACATTGTGTTATAATATTAATATTTAAAATTTAGAATGAATCTCTACCTTTTTATTCAACTATTATTATATCATAGTAGGTATAATTTAGAATAGTTATTTAACTTTTTTCAACAAAGAGAATTACTTTATTATAATATCATAATAAAGAAGTGATGGTTTTTAATTTTAAAAAATTATAAAAATTAAAATTAAAATTCAATCCGGAGTTTTATAAACCATATTTAAATGTTAATATTTGTTAATTAATTGATATGGATGTTCGTCGAGTTTGTAGCTATAATCACAAATTTATTTAACAGGATTTAGTCATCGTAATCCTAATAGAGTTAATTACTTGAGGTTGTCAGGTTATAAATCACATTTATAACACACAACGAAAATAATGGATCTATTTCTAGTTAAATATGCATATTAATTAAGTCAGAGAATAATAAAACTTTTAGGAAAAATACTTTAATTGTTTATGGTGGTTCTAAAATTTTATCTTCTTCAAATATTCGAAGACCTTATGCGTATATGACAATGAGATTGATTTTATTGTGTTAACACTTGATCTGTAAAACCAAATCCTTTAGTCACTTAAGAAATCTCGAAAAGCTTAAAGAGAGTTTCTTTTAAAAAAATTTGTTGAACCTCCTCATTTAGGATTTTTTATGTATGTTTTAAAAATCATTGCTTTTTTTGTCCTTTTGTTCTTTCTTTGTACAAAGAAATAAAGACACGGAAGGCAATCATAGAGAAATTTAGATTCTCTTCACCCTTAAATCTGTAGCAACATCTGTAAAGCAAATATAATCATAATTCTGGTTCTTAATTATTTTAATTAATCACTTTACATTTTAGGATAATGATACTTTGAACATTTTTTTGACAACATTTTAATATCTTCTACGTATTATTCTGTGATTGGTCCAAAATTACTTCATAATCAATAATAATAATCATAAACACCTTACATTTTATGTTTCTATTTTAAGTTGTCATCCTTCTCTTTGAAGGGATTGAACCCTTGAAATAAACACTTTTTTTCATAAGATAAAATGATAATTGAATGTTTTCTTAAAAATTCTCTACCCAACTCATGGTACATGATTAACACATAAGTAAATATGATTAGTTTATCGTTTTTTATGTGTAGAAAAAGAAAGAAAGAAAAACTAAATCGAATGTATGTGCACATAATTATCAGTTTATTCTTGTGTCATTAATGGTTAAATATACCTTAATTTAAAGTCTGGCAAACTGAATTATATCAGTTTTGGAGAAAAGAAATCACCAAAAACAATCACTTCAATGTGTTTAATTCGTCATCTAATCAACATATTTTTAAAAATTTAAATTTTATGCAATTTAATTTAAAGTGGTTCGGATTGAATCAATATTTCAAATTTAGATCTATTTTTGTTGTTCTAAATCATAATATTTTATGATTTTGATGAAGTTATATTTGAGGAATTACAAGTTATCAAAGGAGTATTCGGCAGTTAAATTAAAACCAGGTTTTATAGTATTAATTTTTTCAAATTCATTCAATTATCTTTTTATGCAAGTGACATATTTTAAGGATGCCTAAAATTTTGTTGTAGATGTATAAAAGTTATCAAGATGTAAAATAATATATAATATAAAAAAACTTTATTTAAATACTAATTTATACATATATACAAATATTCGGAAAGAGTAAAATATTTATACATATGAATTTTCAGATGTTTTAAACTTTTATTTACAGTACATTGTGTACAAGGCAAATTGGGTAACTTTTGTATGAGTATCTTCCACATGTATGATAGAGATGGCAAAATATTTATATAAATATATAAAAATAGTTTTAATTATATATTAATTTAAATAAATATAAAAATATTTGAAGGACTAAGGTCTCCTCTTCTCACCTTTAAAGTCTCTCACTGATTTATATGCTTTATAAAGAAAACTATTTCAGAGAATACTTATTCATGATGATTTTGCAAAAAAAAAAATTGTAAGAGAATATATTGAAATCGTTGTGAGGATATTTAAAATCATCTTATAATTTTTAAGATGATTGTTACAAAAATTAATAAATTAGTTTAATTATATTTTAAAATCTTTATAGAATTGGATATTTTTATTGAGTTTCTATTATATATATTTTTACATGTATTAAGTATTCAAATTTTTGTACTTTTTAATTAAGTTTATATTTTAATAAATGGATGAAGTTATTTTGTTTTACTATTTTACTTAAGCCTACTAATTCTATCGTGCATCATAATTTATGATTAAATAATAATATAAAAATGTATGTACCATTTATAGAAAAAAAGAAGTTAATAGTTAAAGTTTGTTAAAATAAATGAATAAGAAGAGGATCGGTGGTTGTAAAGGAAGTGAGTCTGTGATGAGAAATTGAGAAACTTTGGTGTTGGTGGTTACCAAAACCGCAGGACCCATATAGCAGACAATTTCTCGTTCTTACGTATTCATGTAAGATTTTTGTTTTTCAAATTATTTTCCCCATATCATTCTAGTCTCTTCTACAATCATACCAAACTTATAAATATTTATTCACGCTATCATTAATTATATAAAGAGAATGGGCCAGGCTGATAAAAGACAGGCCCAATGGCCTTTAACCCAAAACGCAAAATACTCCTGCATAGATGTCTCGCGATAAGGTGAGTGACTGGACGCGTCTCGTGATTGAAGAGAAGGTTCTAGGTCTTCATGGAAGACAGTCGTCGGAGCAAGCAGCTGCCTTTGCCGGAGACGACGGGAGAGAAGACCAGAAAAACAAGAAGGAGAAAGGCACAATTACAGGTTAGTAAAAACAGAACCCTGTTGGTCTCTTGGAAGAAAAGAATCACTGATATTATTGTTTGAAGAAATATGTATGTTCTCACAAGATAAATGTTGAGGGGGAAAACTCTATTTATAGAGTTCTGAAGGGGAAGGGAAGATAACAGAAAGTAAAAACTAACCTAACAGTTCGGTTACTGTATTTAAAACAGTAATCTATTTAACCAACAATACTTAATATTATATGTATAAATTATGCTCTTGGAAACATTATAGTTAAAAAACTATTTACATAATCTAGTTATGCATGTAAAAAAATATTAAAACAAAATATAATGAAATTATTTTTAGTAAACCAACTGAATATAATGAATCAAACTAATTCATTCTACCACCTCATAAAATAAGAAAGTCAAATTATTTTTATCTCACTCAATAAATATATTAAAGATGTTGGCTTGATAAGATCTATTAAACTTGTTATTATTTATATGTTTGAGGTAAATTATATTTTAATGTGATCAATTCATATTCATTAAATTCATAAAGATTCTAAACATTTTTACTGACTTGAAAATAAAATAATCTTAGTGAATTTTTCTCTAAACACAAAAGATCTCATTTCAACCAACAAAAACTCTCACATCACTACTAAAATTTGTCCACTTATCCTTTAATTTTGATTAAATCACAAATGAAATCTTAAAGAACTAAGTCATAATCACAATCATTTTTCTAAATTATTAGTTTTTCCTTTAATAAGCGATTTTATTATTTTGATGAGACAATTGAAAAGAAAAGGAAGAATTCAAAACTTTCATTTAATTTTTCTTAACCTATCTTTTAACTTCCTTCTTCTGTTGGGATTTGCTTGTCATATATATATATATATATATATATATATATAGATTTGCTAACTCGTTTTTGAGTTGATATATTTTAATAATGTGTATGACAAAAATACTTTTATATATTGTGGATTCTAAGTGGATTCTAAGTTTTAAGGTTAAGGATATTTTAATAATTTTCATTTTCAAAACAAAAACAAAAAAAAGAAACCCTCAAACTTTACTCACCTCTCTCATTCCTCTCAATCTTTTCTTTCATCTCTCTCACCCCAACCTTTTTTTTGTCATTCCTGTAATCCCAATTGAAAAAATCAGAAACATCTGCCTAACCCTAATCCACCTTCTTCCCTTATTCAATTTGTTTCTCTCTCATTCCGTACTCTCTCTCACTCACACACAACAACCCGCTACTGCAATGCGTTGTTCTTACTATGTTCGTTCATTTGTTTTTCACTTTAATAACAAAATAATTAATAATGTTAATATTAATTTTTGATTGGAGGATTGTGTTATATATTTTTCCTTCTTATTATTATTAAATTTCATTTTTAGCAATTGAATATAGACACTAATGTTGTTTCTTTCATTGGATTCACTTTTGAAGGGGAGTGGTAACTTTGTTCTTTTGAAGATGGATTTGAGGGATGTTAGGATTGATTTACCCTAGCTCAAGTGAGGGGATTTGAGAATATGTATGTGCCTTTTACAATATTACTCTTCATTCCTTGAAACCCATTGCGCAATGGTTTTTTAATGGGTTTTGGCCTCTGTTTTCTTGCAGGTGTTGCGTTCCCGAAGCTGTGCCTGAGGTAGTGGTTGTCGCGGGTCCTTGGTGGTGGAGGTGGTGGCTTGTAGTGGTGTGCGTTGGCACGTGCGATTGCAGAATCAGTGTTCGGCTAAGGTTAATGTGCTCCTTCACTTGGATATGCTGAAAATTTCAGCAACCCAATTTGTTGAAAATTTCAGCAACCCAATTTGCTGAAAGGGTGGATGTAAAAACAATTTAAAAATAGTCATTTAAACATTAGAAACCAAGTCTATTGATTCAAACTTAATTTTTTAAAATTAATTTATTCACAGTCAAAATATCAAATCTCCTCAAAATAAACTATTAATTCTAAAATTTAAAAATGAAATTTAATAATAATAAGAAGAAAA